TCTTTGTTTATGTTATCAAAATCTAATAACACTTTTTTGTTATTTAAGCTTTGTTTTTCGAATTTCGCTTGTTCCATGTATAGGACAATGATCGGTTAATTCATCAAAAACAATCGTTTTAATTGCCTTCATGCTTTTTACCATAAATGATCTAAGCACGCGTTTTTCCTCGTGGGTAAATTAACATATTGCAATAGACCATGAGATAAGAGCATACTTATGTATTCAGATGAGTAACGAGATAGGTTGTCGGGTAAAATATCCAAATTAATATCGCCTGTGAGAATAATATTTGTACAATCAATCTTACATAATATAAGCATTTAAAGCATCCAAATAGTTTGTGGGATTATTGAAAAAGGGAGGTCTATACGAACAAACTATAGTGTACTCCGTACCGAGGCTTAAGATCAAAAAATTTCCATCGTTTGGGGCAGATTCGTAGGCATTTACAACAATCTGCTGTTTGACATAAGCAATTACACCATTATTTTGGTTTATTGATTTATTAGTACGGAATGTCTTATAGTTTGAAATTGAAGGTACTTTTCTGTCCTCATCTATCCAGTACTCAGTAACACAATAACATCAAGTCTTACCTGTAATCTCGTAATGAATATAAGCAGGTTGTCAATATTCCGATTAACACTTCGGATATTTACTGTTAATATACTATGGTGCAACACTTAGCAGGGTCTTCCATCTTAAAACATGAAGGTTTTAACAGGCTTTCTAGTTCATCATTAATAAACATATTATTTATTTCTGTTGTTTTTACTTAAAGGAAAAAAATGTATATGACCAGTTTTGGGGGTACGATGATAACTCATAAGTTATTTTTAGCCTATACTCAATTTTAGATGATAATGCAGTGCAATAATAGAAATACGTGAACATTTTTTTGAACATGCGATGTTGAGTACTGAATTAATTGTTAATAGTATGTTTGTACTGATTGTATGTGTTACAGGCACATTTTTTTTTGTTTTGATTAAAATTATATAAAATAAAAGAGACATAATAGTAAAAATTACAAAGAAAAGATATTTTATAGAATATATGCTTAAAGAAAAATACTAAAAAAATAATTTTTAACCAAATAGATAGTCATTTTTTACTTTTAACTTTCTTTATATCACTTTCACTATTAATTCTTATTAGCGTGGAACCATCTTCTTTACGCAACAATATTTTACCGTATGAAGTCTAACAGTATTTATAACCGTAATTCGAAGCAAATTCTCTTGCCAGGAAGAATAAACGCTTACTCTTGGATGTGAGACTTTTCGATATGTAGACAGGAGTTTTTGGACTGCTTAGATTTAAATGTCGGGTTCTAAGCTTATCATCTTTGTTATTCTTATTGAAAGCTTTTATTGATTTTTGTAATTTATCTTTTATTATGGCATTTGTAAACTCCGCAATTATTGGTTTATTGGTTGTCTTGGAATTGAGTCGAAATACATCCTTGATTTCTGATGACTGAAATTGGACATTAATGGCTTTACCTAAATTAATAATAATACCAGTCAAATCTTGTTTATTTTCGGATGCATGTTTTGGTATATTTCTTCTAAACTGGTTGATTGGGACTGGCGTTCCAAGTGTTCTACCTTTTCTTCTAGAAGTTGTATATACTTCCGATCTTCTTTTCTTTCTTCCTCAAGATGGCAAATTTTTTGTATCACCTCGTCGTATTTTTCAAACATGAGTTCCACGGACTCCTGTAATTTATTGTTTTGTGATTTGATTTCGTCGATGCTTGAACTAATAGATGCAAGGTTGTTCTTCTTTAAATTCAGATAACATTTTTGTGAATTCCCTTTTAAATTCAATAAATTCTGATTGTTTTACATAGGCTGCACTAAAAGTATCGGGAATGGAATATTTCCACTGTTCCTGTCATATTAAAATCTTTTTAATTGAAAACTCCTTGGTTTTAAAAATCGAATACCATATATTTATTTAAAAAAAGATTCTTGGTCTTTTCACAAGGTTTTGTCAAACTTGTTTAGTCGTTGAGAAAATGGAATTGACTCGAGAAAATTCAAGAGCGATGATTTATTATGACTTTCGAAGTGGTTTAATACAAAAACAGTGTGTTGACCGGATGATTTCTGCATTTGGTGATGAAGTCCCACCCACAATTTATCGCTGGTTTGCTGAATTTCAACGTGGACGTGTCAAGCTCAGTGATGATCCCCGTCAAGGTCGTCCAAAAACTGCAGTCACCCAAGAAAACGTTGATGCTGTGCGTAAGCTGATTGAGGAAGATCGACATGTGACATACCGCGAAATTCAGGCAACTTTAGACATTGGCATGAATCAAATACAAATAATCTTGCATGAACAATTAGGTGTAAAAAAGTTGTTTTCCCGATGGATACCGCATCCGCTCTGTGAAGAGCAAAAAGCGGTTCGCGTTACTTGGTGCGTCAGAACTCCAGGATCCAAGATTCCACGCAGGATCCTCAAATGCTGTATACAACATTGTATCAAGTGACGAATCCTGGATATACGCGTACGAACCCGAAACAAAAAACCAGTCACGAGTTTGGGTGTTCGAAAATGAATTAAAGCCAACAAAAATTGTTCGATCACGGAGTGTTGCAAAAAAAATTGTGGCCACGTTTGTCTCCAAAACCGGCCATGTTACGAATATTCCTCTTGAGGGACAAAGAACGGTTAATGCAGAATGGTATGCTAGCATTTGTTTGCCACAGGTCGTTTCTGAACTCCGTAAAGAGAACTGCAACCGCCGCATCATCCTCCATCACGACAATGCGAGTTCTCATACCGCACACAGAACAAAAGTTTTTAGAGCAAGAAAACATAGAATTATTAGACCATCCGCCGTACAGCCCCGACCTAAGCACTAATGATTTCTATACTTTCCCTAAAATAAAGAATAAATTGCGTGGACAGAGATTTTCATCACCTGAGGAAGCTGTGGACGCCTACAAAACGGCCATTTTGGAGACCCCAACTTCCGAATGGAATGGTTGCTTCAATGATTGGTTCCATCGTATGGAAAAATGTGTTAAATTTCGCGGAGAATACTTCGAAAAGCAATAAATACATTTTTAAATGGTAATGTTGTGTCACTTCCTTGATTCCCGAAATTTTCAGTGCCGCCCTCGTATACTCTCTTCCCTTTTCCTTTTAGTTCAGCTGGTTATAGTACAAGGTTCTGACTCATCAAGCTTTGTGCAAATATTTGGGTCGACGCAGACGCAGAGTGATCAGAGTGCGCAAGCGTCTTAGATGGCGTACGATCGACAGACATTGTTGTTTATAGTACCAGGCTCGCAGGAAAAAATAAATGAGTAGTGATGTCACAGTGGTTATATATGATAGCTCTGATTGAAGAATATGACCACTATTAGTGTTTAATTATAACCGAATACGCCGTAAAGTAATGTTCTTTTTTATGCTTTTGTTTTACTTGTTTAGACCTGATTAAGTTTAGTTGACAACAAACATCAGTTGCAAACGGAAGGATACTTATTTTTAGTGGCTAAGTGTTTTTTTACATATTTTCCTTGAAATGGAGAGTGACTTTTTTAATGCAGAGATTACAAACATTTTGTACTCTTTTTTTTATAAAAAAAAATCATTTACAGCTAAATCACCCTGAAAAACCCTGGTTTTTATTAAATTAAATTTTACCTAATAATAACAACCAACTCTAGCCAGCCTCTCGATTCCATAAGATGTATTTCGGAGAGCCCCCTTTCCACCATCGGACAAATCGGGCGGTCGGCGAGTTTTCATTGATTGTCGATATTACTCACATTTGAACCAAACAGTGTACTTCGTCTTTCGTAAGGTGTGCAGCAAATAGTTGGAATAATTTGGCAGCGTCTAGTCTAGTCTTTCTGTCCGATTACTATCTGTGTTATCAAGGTAAGACTAAATAGGTTTTGTTACACAAAGGGCTTTATCACCACTTACCACCACACAGTTAGGATTTGTAGTCAAGCATTGGCTCAATAAATACAAAAATTGTTAATCAAGAAACGTTCCAAGTTTTTGACTATTTAGTATGCCCGTGTAGTGCTGGCGTTAAAGAATTCACTACGCCATGTAATCCCGAAGGTGTCGTAAGAGGCGACAGTGGGAAACTGAAACATTAGATGGAGATGTGCTAAGCGCGGCAACTACGGCAAATAGACTATGAACCAATGTTTGGGAGAATTATGTTCAGAAGTGGACACTTATCACAAATGCTATTTACAAACTACATACACATTCTCACACTCATATTAGGCGTTGCGAAAACGTAGACACTCTTTGTTACCGACGCAACACACCATCGCAGGAAACCATAGTTGTGTCCGGTAAGGGCAATCGCAAACAGTCGCCGGTCTACTTCTGGTCACTGGTAACAATTCGTTGCTTATTTTCCGTCAGTTTCACGATGGATGTAGATGAAGAAACATTACCTTTGCTTGTTGTGTTGATTATACTTCGACGTAGACGTCGTCGCCGTCAATATTTACAGACAAATCAACCACGTCAACTGTCCGAGTCGTTCGTGCGTATCTTCAACTAACGACTTCATTATTTCTAGTTTGGAAGCAACTGGACACAAAAAATGTCTGGCTCTGCGCAAGGAGTGGCTACTTTATATTGATAATATGAAAATAAAAAAATCACTGGTAGCTTGTATGAGACATAAAAGTGTCTGCGTTTGCACAGTGCCTTAAAGAAATGATGATTTTACTAGATCTGACAGACTATGCCAACCGAGAGACATTTTAACCCTTTCGCTATCCCGTGCACTGCATATAGGTCATTGCTAGTTTTAGTAATGTGTCTGAAAACCGGACAGTGAGTGTTAACATTATAATTTATCATCATTCGACAATTGTACTTTAAGCCTACTTTGTTTACCTCACCAATTCTCAGTTTAAAAATTTGTGAATGTGCACTGATGTACCAAATCAGTGCACATTCACAAATTTTTAATATACTAAGTAAGACATTTTCTTTTACAGAATCAAGGTTTAAACAAACAATATTGAGGTCAGTGAATTCCAGGGAAGACTGAAAGAAGAAAAAAATGTGAGCTCACGCCAAAGATAAAGTATAAGATTTTTTAAATAAAAAAACTTAAGTTTTATCTTTATTGTTTCATTCAATTGTATATCATCACCTACAGGCATAGTTAACTCTGGCCACTTTAGGACCTATTTCTTAAACTTTATTTAATTTCTAAAAACAATATTTAATGTTTTATCTATGTCTCGCTTTTTTATTATTATTTTTCTTAACAGTGCTGTTGCTGCTATTAGTAAGTTTATGCTTCAATGAGTTTGGTGTTGTATCTCCTTTATTTGTAATACCTATACTAGAATCCTTATCTTTTGGGGTGCTAGGTCTACTGTCTAATCCAACAGCTGACAGCATTTTATTGTCACTATTAAACGATTTCTGCAACATTCCAGATGATGTTGCAATTTTCTGTGTTGCACTTTGTTTTGTAAGACTCATTCCCTTTTCAATTGCTCCATTAGTGTGTTGTTTTCCAGATGGTTTAGATGAAATACTTTCTGAAGAACCATGTATTGTTGTATGATTTAGGTTTCCTATGTTCAAACCACTTATTTGGGTGTCTGATGAATCCTCATTAGTCTGGGACTCTGTTTCACTATTCCTCTCGTCTATTACAAAAAATAAAATATTAGAAATAAGTATGTAATTGTTATTTTATATTTATAACTAATGTCAAACTTACTTTTCGCTTCAGCTGGATCTACAAGTCCACTGACTGCCTGTAAAGAAAAAGCTTCAATGTTATTCTGTTAGAAAGCACGGTTGCTAAGTGTTTCATTGTAGTGCTATGAGGACGCAGGTTCTATGCTGACTAATGAGATCAACATTAACTAACACCACAATATAGCATCAGTACAGTCACTAATTTTGTTTACATCAGTTGTATAATACGTAGACCGGTGACAGGCATCAGTATCAACAGTGCAAGACTTCTGGAACTGTCATTGGGTTCTGCCTACCAAGGGTGACGATGAAGCCATATCCTCTCTATCATGGCAGAGGCCAATGTTCAACAGTGGACTTTCAGGGGCTGCTAAAGATGACAGTACCTATCACAGTTTTGCTAATCTCTCTAAAATTGTAATTAAAATTTATGGTTTCAAAGTAACTGAAACAATATGTTTTACTATTGCAAAAACACATTCCAAATCACCACTAGCAGGTAATAGCAAAGTGATAAACAAAAAGTGATGACAAATAATGCAATGGGACTGGATAATGTAAACACAATAAATTTTAACAAGTTGTACTACTACAAATTAATGGCGTTGAAAATTGATGGATGGAAATATTATGGGCCCTATACACGACCGGCCATGATGGACGAATACTAGCGATCACGATCGTGTAGAGGCATGATCGCCTATAATCGCCCATGATCGGTTATGATCGAGCGTAATCCCCATTGTGTCGGTTTTTCAGACAATCATCAAAGAAAGCTCGGCCATGATCGTGCATGTGTCTACATGATCGCCGATGCTCTATAAAATTACCTTATTTTATTTCGGTGTATAGTTAACATCCTCCTTTTTAGCTTACTTTTTTTTCACCATTCTTTTAAGGTGTACATTTAAATAATGCTTATACATATAAACTAATTAAGTAAATAAATACTGGCAGCTGCAACTGTTTCAATGTCCATCTAGGACAGATGACAATACAAATATGTAGGATGCATGATCGTGTGGGCAGCCATGATTGTGACAATCATGGCCCATTCTGTGGTTGTCCATCATGGCCGATTGTGTATAGGGCCCTTTAGGTTCAAGTAACAATTTTGTTTTTGTGACTAAACAAAAGTTGGGCAAATTAACACATACTTCAGAAAAAATAAATAAACAAAAATTCTATTGTTCCATATCAATAGAATGTAAATTCAGAATGCTGTATATGAATGACAGGGTGATAAGAATAAAAAACTGAGTAATATAGAAACTTAATACTATGAGTGAATCCAATTAAAATAAAAACAATATTTTTAATTTATATACCACAATTCACTACAAATTTATGAAAAAATCATAATGATAAATAAATTAATTTTTATATTATATTTAATAGAAATGAGTGTCTTGGCTTTCTTCAATGATATTATAAACAGAAAGAAGCAGATATGTTGTTAGCATGCACATAGTTAAAACTCGAAAACATCCTTTTTGGATATAGAGCATAAATGAGCCACTCTTACATATTATTATATGACGAAAGAAGGGAAGTTACTTGTACCCTGCCAAAGATGGTGTTGGGATTATAAATTACCAAAAAATATACTAGATGGCGCTATCAACTAGTTTCAATATTATTTTCTACATTTTAATATAGTTAAAGCAATGTTTTAGATTGAAATAAACTAAATTATTATAATGTACTTTTTCTAATGATCACGGTTTGTAATACTTTGAATGACGAGTAACAACACAGCTATTCTATATATTGTGATATTTCATACCCTTTACTTAAGGTAAATTGTTAGATTGACCTTTTTCATAACTAACTTCTATGTTAAATTGTTAAAATTATACCCCTACAAATTTTTACATGAGTAGATAGGAAATTTTTTTTTGGAAAAACAAGTGTTCGACTGATGTGTATGTAGGTGAATGGCTAAGCAGCAACATTAAATAAAAGTTAAGGTAATAAATTATGTTATTACCTTACCTTTTATTTGATTTTTATCCATGATTACACTCAAAATCACCTAAAACTATCTTCAAACACTTATAAACTAGAGTGAGTAAGGAACAACCTTTTAAAACAAAGCTAGGGCTTAAACTGTTATGTGTTATGAGTTGACCTTATCTTGTAAGAAGTGCCAGCTACCCGTCTAGTGACTCCATAGAAAATGTAAGCGGCATCAATGTGTTACATTCATAATTTGTGGTGGTGGTAAATGTATTAACCAGTTAGTCTCTGATTCTCACCACATATGAAAAATAGCAGCATTTTACTGTTATTTTACACTGATATTCTGTGTGTATGTAGTATTTCCTCAGTCATGCTAACCCATTTGTGCCACAGCCACAATACACAGTGTAAATCTACCACATAAGTGAATAATCTACATAATATTATTTTAAATATCTTTTTATTCTACTTACTGCCATTGAGGTTATAGACGATTTCGAAAACAGTCTTTCTGCTTCTTTAAATTTTCTATTACGTTTATCTGCCTTTGAGTTAGTACTTTTGTTTGTTGTAAGATAGCGATCCCATCCTCGAATAATGTTACCATATAACTGTGTATCTTCTAAGTATGATCCTTCAAATGCATAAATTTGGCGCTCTAAATTAGCCAAAGTTTCCTATAAGAAAAACCGTATTATATTAAATAATTTGAAGACTGCTCACAAAACTGTTTACTTTTGTGTATAGTGACAAGTTGTTACATAAAGACGCAGCGAGATGACAATTTACAGGCAGAAGAAACGTCACTTACAGCGACTTCAGCTTTTCTTTTCACCAGCTCCGCTAATTCTGCTCTAGTATCTGCTACTGAGCTTTGTTTGGACGCCATATTAGTTTTCGACCCTTGCACGCTTGGGGCTTCGCTGGCAGGACTTTGCGGTGAAACAACCATGTCGGTAATTTGTTTTTTCTTATGCTTCCATAACTATATTATTGACACAAATCTATCCGTACATAGGAAAATGACAAATAAAATAACTTTCCCCGCGTTAATTCTACTCTCTTCAATTTACAGCTTCAATTTAACATTTAACAACTTAACAACTTCGCTTCCACAGATAACTGTATACTACAAAGAGTATAGTAATATGTATACTAGTATACTGGTTAGGAGTGGGCGATACAAATCGTATATAGATACAATATCTATATATTAGCACAATATCCAATATCTATATATCGGACGATAAAATAACTATGTATTAGATATTACGATTTTACGATACCGTGTTGATATGAGTCATCGCAGAATATCTAATATCTACTCAAAACCGAAACGTAAAATATCTAAATATATACATTGATTCGGATACCGAACAAACCTCGTTAGAATATATAGCTAAAACAGATATTACGACTACTTTACAACGAAAAGGCTTACGTCTAATATTATTCATATTAAGCCTTATTATTAGTGTCATACGATTTATTACAGAACACATCATTTCTAATATCCAGTCTTAAGTAGTATTGCACTGATTTCAAAATAAACGATTATAGATCTTATTAAGTATATAATAGGATGTTATTTTTAAACCAATTAATTTTAAATATTTGTAGACCGACCTTTGGGCCTTGAAAAATTGAAGTACCTATTTGCTCAAATTTGATTTTTGTGTTCTATTTTTAAATTTTATTTTTTGATTCGTTCACGTGCATTGCGTCGCGTAATTTGAATGCGGATGACATATTTTATGTCATTTCTCTGCTCACTTTTGTTTGTAATTCGGTTTCGAAATTTGAATTTTATTTTGATAATTTTTTCGTTTTATGTATAGGTACTTATATAGTTTCTTAAGTTTGAACTGTTTTTGTGTATTAAAAGTAGTGTAACATAAAATATTATATAGATGCATAGATATTAGGTAGATAGTGTACATTTCTTTTAACAAATTAATTCTAGTTTAGTGTTTGACATTGTGTAGAACTAATTAAACATATTATAACAATATGTCTCGTCCACTTACAAGCATAATATGGAACTATTTTGAGAAATATGACATAGTCGATAAAAAGGCCAAATGTCGCATTTGTTGCGATATTTATAGTTACAAAGGCTCAACAGGCAACCTTAAGGCGCATTTAAAAAAAAACACTTAGATGCTTTTACGAAAGTAAGTACAGCCCAACGAGAAGCGAAAACATGTCAGCAACAAAGACAATTATGCTCGTCTTCGGCTTCGGTGTTGACAGATATGAATTTAGACAATTTTCTCGATGGTACGTCATCTGCCGCTGGTATGCCATCTGCCGCTGGTATGCCATCTGCCACTCGTACGTCATCTGCCGTTGGTGCGTCATCTGCTGCTGGTACGTCATCTGGCGCTGGTACGTCAACTGCCGCCAGTCATATCCAGCAGACTACGAAGCAGCAAACAATAGAAAGATATGGCACGGCAAAAAGAATATCCAATGAGACTAAAAAGAAAATTGATGGAGGTCTATTAGATTTATTTATTGACAGTTACCAGCCATTTTCATTGGTGGAGGAAAGGGCGTTTAAAAAGTTTGCTCGGTGGATTCCTGGCTACCAACTGCCCAGTAGAAAAACAATATCCATCGTCATGTTGTCTGCATTGTCCAAAACCAAATCGGAAATGAAAATGATATTAGGCCCGGAGTGCAATCATTCGATATGTCTTACGACAGATTTATGGACCTCTAGATCGAACGAGTCCTATATAGCCGTCACCGCTCATTATATGACAGATGATTTTGAGCTCAAAACTGTTTTACTTGATTGTTGCAATTTTTATGACTCCCATACCAGTGAAAATATAGAGAAAATGTTAAAAAATATTGTGGCTGAATGGGGCTTCACTGATAAGATAATATTTGCCGTAGCAGACAACGCTGCTAATGTACAGAAGGCCATTCATAACATCGGCTGGAAGCAATTTGGATGCTATGGCCACACTTTGAATTTAATAGTTCAGGATTCACGACGGTTCAACCAATTTTAGAAAAGGTAAAAAAAATCGTTCGCCATTTTAAAACAAGCTCTACGGCTTTGGAAAAACTTTTAAAGGCACAAACGAATGATATAGCTGGTTGTATCCCGAAGCGGCTTATACAAGAAGTCCCCACGCGTTGGAACTCAACATTTCTTATGGTTCAACGCTTCGTTGAAATGGAACAGTACATTAGAGCCACACTGGCCATTCTTAAAAAAGATCTGCCTATACCTACAAATGATGAATGGAAACTTCTTTCAGACTTGATAAAAATTTTACAACCATTCCATCAAGCCACTGAAACAATTAGTGGTGAAAAATACATGACCGGTAGTTTGGTCATTGTAATGACACGGTGCCTTATAGCGGCGAGTGATAAACTAACAACAGAGCCAATTTTGGAAACATCTAAAGATGTCCTCTATCGTCTCAGAACAGGACTGGTGACAAGATTCGGCCTTGTGGAACGAAGCAAAACGTTCAGGACATGCACGTTCCTCGATCCTAGATACAAATTATCTGTTTTTAGTGATCAGAATGAGGCCAAAAACACAAAAAATCATATCCAGGATATTTTAGTTGCGATGATTGCTCAAGAGAGTTCACAGGAGGAACAATTATCTTCGATTACAGCCAGTAATATAAAAACTGATGGCTTTCGTGCTATCCTGCACGAAATAATGGGCCAAAAGCAGCACAAAGTCGGAACTCCTTTATCAAGGGCCATTAAGGAGATCGACACATATTTAAACGACGACCTGCAGCCAATCTTCCATGGCGACAAATGGAGCTGTCCCCTTGAGTGGTGGCGTGGCCACAAATTTACATATCCACATCTTGCTAAACTTTTTCAAAAGTATGGAAATATAATGGCTTCATCCGTTCCATGTGAACGTATATTTAGCAAAACGGGCTTCTTATTAAATGACCGTAGGACCCGACTTACATCCCAAAAAGTAAGACAACTTACCTTTTTAAATGTAAATTTAGATGAAAATAGGTTTACATGAATAAGTAAAACCGTAATGTAAATACTTAATTGTAAATAATATCTAAAAGTATGTAAATATAATGAAATGAACTTTTAAATACGCCTGCATTACATTATTAAGAATTATTGTATATTTTAAATGTATATTCAAATGTTATTACTTATCTACATACAGTTAAATATATTAACTGAATTATACATCGCGTTACAAATTCCTTTTTTATTACTATTATTAAGTGATGCAGTCAGTCCTAAGCCTGAGAAAAGTATGAAGGAAAGTTTATTTCACCGATTCTGAAAAACTATACCCGCTTAATAGATCTGGGATAATTTCCTTTGACGTAGGGATATAACCAGTAACCACTAACCCTAACCGGTATTGAAACAACGAACCCAAAATAAACCCCGACCTTCAGTCTTATATAATATAACATGATAATTTTCAACTAAAAGTGGGGCATAAAATATAAAAGTTTAATTTTATAGCAAATAAATGTTACAATCCTTATTTTTAGGCATATAGAGCCTAAATTTAAGTGTTATAAATTAAAACAATATATTTGGAGTAAGTAAAAAAAATACTTTGCAAACGCGCCATCTACTCCATTAAGGTGACACTAGTCGACATTATTTCCATAGAAATTTCGGAGGGGTTTTACTCCGCTGTTTGACAGTGTACATCCAAAATTAAACATGATATCGTTTTGTCTCATTATTAAATTTGTCTGTACGGAAACAGAATAGTAAAATAAAATGTTATTAAAAAGTTACGAGCTACCAAAGATTCGTTTTTATTGCCAATTTTAACACAACTTTGGGCGTAAATTAGTAATATAAGAAGTGTAAAATTTCCAAAACAAAGTCGGTACCGACACAGGTCAATTATCGAAGAACTCAATAAATTTTATTTGTAATTGATTAATGCAGTGGTTTTTTCATAAAACCCCTTCTTCCAAAGGCCTTTTCGTATTTTTTTACGCGCGCATGTTACTATGAATTATCGTGCATCTCACTGAATAATGTCTCCCCCGGTGCGGTGCGGGAGGACGATGCTTACACACACATGCACAGGCGGTGACGCGCGCTTGTATTCGAGTTTTATTCGAAACGAAAAGTTTTGCTATTTTGTAATTTGGACGCCAAAGACAAAAGACGGCATGGAAATTGATATAATTGAAAGAGATGATGCGTTTTGGACGACAGACAATATTTTAAAATTTTCGTCTGTAATATAATATAATTATAAAAGTAAAAAAAGTAAAGTCTATATTCGATTACTATATAAAATTGCAACAATTTCATTGGTGCCGACGGGGATCGAACCCGGGTTGCTCGCGTAATGTGATACTTACAGCGAGCGCTAACCATCTGAGCTACCACGGCTCTCAATGCAAGTGTTATAAATAAATAAAGAATTACAAAACAGTTTAATTATTTATTAGACGACTTTTGCGGCGGATAAACAAAGTATATTATGTGGGATTTTCATAGGTACCTACTGTTATTACCTAGATACCTACAATCTACAATACAACAAAATATCACAAAACCTCGCCGCGTCGTGGCCACAAAATTGTAAACTTTAGGTAGGTACGTCAGTACTAAGAAAACAATCTTGATGGGTCACCTGTCTTGATAAAAACCTGTGCTTACGTTTAGTGATATTGAGTATATATAAAAAAATAAGAAGCCAGGTAAGTAAGTATTTTTGAAAACAATTTATAGGTAGGCAGACCAATTACGATTATTATCTAAATATTATAAATGCGAAAGTTTGGATATTTGGATGGACGGATGAATGGATGTATGTTACTCAATCACGCCAGAACCGCTGAAGGGATCTGGATGATATTTTGCTCAGAGATAGGCTATAGTCCGGAATTTTTTTTTCAAAAAAACGTTACCCCACACTAGGATTTTCTCCTGTATCGTGGAGGCAGTTTACAAACATCCAGACCCGGAACAATTATTTGTAGACCATACAAATACTTGTTCGATTGATTCGAACCCGCGGCTCCCAGTACAACAATTCATTGCTAAGCCACTGCGCCACGGAGCTGCCAAATATCATATATGATACCGTTTATTCAGGTATTTCGTTGCCGTGGGATAATTATCGAGTTACACACGTTCGAAGCCGAACTCTTGAGTGATTGCTGCATGACCACTCGGGGAAAACTAAACATAATAAAATAAGCAATCTATATTAGGTATATAGAGCCACAGAGGTATACCTAATAATTTCGCGGTTTCACCCGCGTCATCACGTGTCCGAGATGCGTGGCATGACATGACACCTAGTTCAAGCATTTTATAATTGCAATCAAATATTTTATTTGATTGTAATGTATGGAAAAATTGTCATGATAAATGGAGTACTTTTATTTTATCTGTCGGCATATTATGCGCGGTTTTTTCCAGTTTTAAAGAAAAACGTACACGATACATGAAAAGTGTGTAGGCAAGAAATGATTCTTGATAAATTTGCTATCAACCTCTTATACTTATTAATCAATTAAATTTAAACTTTCAAAATACCATAGCAACGTGAAATGAAAGAGTTCAGAAATAAAGATGTAACTAATCATTGCTACGGTCACCCGGGAGATAGATAAAAGTACTCAATTAATTTTGAATTTATTTTAGCTACTAGCTGTACCCCGCGACTTCGTCCGCGTTTAGTTTAGGGCGTTAATATTGTTGCAAAGACACCTAATAATTTTTCTAAAATTTAAGCAGGCTAAGTTACTTCTTATAACATGAGCTATCTACTAGTGAAAGTCCCGCCAAAGTCGGTCCAGCCGTTTTGGAAATTAACCGCAACAAACAGACTGACAGACATACAAAAATGTTAAATATTGTGTTAATGTTATAAGTACCGTATACAGTTTCATACGCAATTAGTAAAAAGCTGTTATTTTGACATTAAAAACAGACACTTCAATTTTATTTATTTGTGTAGATATAGATAACGATTGAACTAACGGCTAACCTAACCTCGCTCATAGAAGCTTTCAATACTGGCTTCTCAGTTCGCACCGGGCTAGGGGTTATGCGTTGTTTGCGCGTCAAGCCAAGTAGGTATTGAATTATTTTAATTTTACATTATCTCTTAAACTATGTACTATATAAACATGGTATAAAGAACGAAGTTTATCTTCATAAAATTGTCTTGATAATGAAGTAACTTTGGTTCGTAAGGTGCCTAATAATTAAATTTTCATTTTTTTTTGTCACAAAATGCCTAATTGTGGCTTATATATAAGAAATAGACATATGGTATCGCGGACTTTTTTTAGACGGAGTAAAGATCTATATTTTTCTAGAACATTGTATTTACGTATCCCGAACCATAACAGCGCTTTTTCTTCACAAATATAGGCTAGCTGAGATATATAGCCTAATGCTGTATAGCCTATACTATTCAACATGAATCTGGCTATAATATCCAAAAAAAGATTTTTCAAATCGGACTGGTAGTTCCAGAGATTAGCACGTTTAAACAAACAAAAACCCTCTACTGCTTTATTATATTAGTATAGATGTTGCATCGTGTTCGTGTAACTTCGTTTTTATTCTAACGGTTCGGAACACCGTACGAACAAGACATGCGTGAATACTAGTGTCGATATGCTCATCACTGATACTATCTCTGTCGGGCACGATGCCAGGTGAGACAGCGTGCTTTTTGGCCGCGCCCACCAGCGAGTTCGAGCCCGCGACTTGTGCCACCTTAAGTGATTTTATCGAACAAAAATGGATTAACTCCATAGACTAACATAATGATTAACTCTCACGGTGGTACGCATTATAGACGTTAGATGGCATAAACACGACACGATTTAATTTAATATTCTATTTCATTAATATCTCGCAAACTAAATCTTATTGATATATATTATATGTCACTTTTTATATTATGACATACTTTAAGAATACTTAGATTACATAAATAATACCATTTATCTATAAATCTATATATGGAAATTCGTTCATAAATCGCGTATCACCATGTGATACTGCGTACTGACATCTATTCAGAACGAAGATATCAACAAATACATAGATATTGAAATATATAGATACAAAATCGGATATTCATATCCAATACATAGGTACGATTTGATATAGGTTAAAAGCGATATTACCCATGCCTAATACTGGTATACTGGTATACTAGTTCGCTTCTTTTTTTTTAATGTGATCCTGTTCCTGATCCTGATCTTTTTTTTTTTGGAGTTTATGGCCTGGTATCTAGACCTTTAGGCCAAGTCTTAAGTATTTTTATTCGGTTTATTATAATTTCCCAAAATGTATAATTATCCTTCATAGTTCACTGCTTCACAATATGTTGATGCGTCACATTGTGCAGCCCTTGGGAGATTTTGACGGCAACTTGAGCCAGCAGACAGCTGACAGTTGGCGATGGTATCTAAAGGCGCATATGTAGACAAACAGCTTATCTTGAGAATCCATCACCATCAGAGCACTTGTTTCACCGTTTCCACTAATAGTTCACATGCGTAGACAGTTAATACACAAAATCGCACCACTTTTACATATCAAAGTCCACTTCAAACCATTATTTAAACAATAATACAGGAGCAGCAAACCGACGCCGGTAAAGTTCCCGCCAAAACTCCCCTGATCCTGATCCATCGGCATCCATCCATAGATAAGTTATTTTGTATAACTAGCTTTACGGCTTTGGGTTCCAGCCCTTCTGAGCTTGAAGTTAAAATGTATAATTATCCTTCAGTGTTGCGCGCCACTATTGATGTCTTGTATATGGGAACACTAGTTCCCGATAGCGCCCTCTAGTGTCGAGTAGCAGAACTAGGAGAGTCAAGATCCTTCTAGAAATTTCGGGACCGATATGTTTTCGAACATTCTAGATGTCGCTACAGTAGAAGGTTCTGGAAACTATCTGAGGCCCTATATAAGGCCGGTATAGACCACGACCGAGGCAGTATTGAATTGGCGATACAAGAGAATACTTCGAAGCGAAATAATTGCGAA